AAGCAATGCCCACCTGTGAGTGTTGCCACCTAATGGACCCACTAATTGGTGCAGTCGATTTCTGGCACATGCACTGATAGCGTTCATTTTCTTTCTTCAACTTTCATTGAAACTTTTGTCTAGTTTCAAGGGGTAAGTACAGAGACATGACATGCAAGAAAAAAAAAACAAGATATCATGACCGTAACCTAAGAATTCATTCCCACTACTAATTTATTCTCTCTTTTTGGATAAATCATAGTATGTCATACTAATTTGTTCCCTCGTTTTAGTTAAATCAATGTTACGATTGAACTAAATTAAAATGAGAGCATGAATTAGTACAAGTTGAGTCACATGTGGGGTATATATATAAGCTGTAATTGAGAACCACTGGCATAAACTATTTGTGTGTGTCTAGTCATATTCGTATCTTCTTTTTGTTGACCATGATTTTGACACAAAATATTTTCACTTAGTGGAGCTCTGAGAAAAAAAAAGTAAATATATGACATGAATTACAGTTACGTATGAATTATGGTATGAACAAGTATTTGATTGGACAACAATCTGTATATTGCAGGATGAGTCATCAATTTTTTATTTTGGTCAGTTTTTCCTAAAGAGAATGACTGAAGAAAATACATTTTCTGATAAAGTGATTTTTAGCAGTAGCATATTACCCTAATATGGGTACCCTAAAAAAGGTAACAATCTGAGTTTATATCTTACAATTCTGACTTTTTTCACAATTCTGAGAAAAAAGGATTATAAGTTAACAACTTATGACTCAGAATTGAACATTTATATTTCCAAATTTTATCAGAATTGAGAAAAAAGTCAGAATTGTAAGATATAAACTCAGATTATTACCTTTTTTAGGGTACCCATTGTGAGAAAAAAAGAGTCTGAATTGTGAGACATATGTAAACCCTGAATTGTGAGTTAAAAAGTCAAAATTGTGAGCTAAAAAGTCACAATTACCTTTTTTATTTTTTTATTCCATGGCGAAAATGATTCCATACTTTAAAGGGATAGTTCACCCAAACATGAAAATTCTGTCTCACCCTCATGTTGTTCCAAACCCGTAAGACCTTTGTTCATCTTCAGAACACAAATTAAGATATTTTTGAGGAAATCTGAGATCTTTCTGACCCTCCATAGAGAGCAATGCAACTGAAATGTTCACAGACCCAGAAATATAGTACGGACATCGTTAAAATAGTCCAAAATAGTATTGTCGTAGCTTTGAAAAATTATGGTTGAACCACTGATGCCACATGGACTATTTTAACAATGTCCTTACTACGAGTCAAAAAGGCTCTCGGATTTCATCAAAAAATATCTTCATTTCTGTTCCGAAGATGAACGAAGGACTTACAGGTTTGGAACGACATGAGGGTGAGATATTAATGACAGAATTGTCATTTTGGGTGAACTATCCCATTAAAGATAATAGACAAATTGAAAGTTACAAAACTCTAATGTGTTTTTTTTAAGTGCAAAGTCACCGATTGCCAAATTAGCAGCTTTAAACACTCTCCTGTGGAGTTTGAGGCTCTCACACAGAGTTAAATTCAGTTCTCTGTAATGTGACAGTGCCCACTTCACACCAAACATCTGTGATGCCTATAATCCAGCACAGAAGTTCCAGTAAATTAACATCACTTGTACTTCCGACTCATTAACCGATTCTCATTAACGGATGATTTGACATTTAATTTGTGCGCGACGGCCGCTAAGTGTTATAAATGGCTAGAAAGCTCTGACTCCTGACCTGCCCTTCAGCATGGCCCCTCTGCTCCACCTCGCTGTGCCTTGTTTCCGTGGTTACTTGCAAATCCGCCGGCGCTTACACAATCCTTTTAATCTATTTTTGTGTACCGCTGAGAGTGTGGACACCCACTTTCCGCATGAGGCATGGAGGAGTCATCAACCCTGGTTAAACAGACCAGCATGCGGCTTATTCCCACTGCGGGATCTTTTGTACTCAAATAAAACCACAACAAAACAATGAATACCAGCTGACTGTTTACATCTCGCAGAACTCGTCATGTCAGCTGGAGATCTTTTTCCGACAGACTATCAGCAATCAGAACATCCTTCTTCACAATACAAGGTTTTTATGAAGACTCCTTGATCTGAATTTCCTGCCTGACGCTATATAAAACACAAATTGCCCTGATTTCCTCTGTCAGTCTTTCTTGTGTTCTCATCTGGGCTTTGACAGCTGTGTTTATAGGGCAGTTGTCTAATGGAGGGTTGGAGCATCAAGTCTGAGGGAGAACTGCATGATTGCTAGTATATATCTGCTTGTGAACGCTGCCATATTCATTCCCACTGACAAACGAGACAGTTCACCCAAAATCAGTTGTCACTCACCCTCAAACTCGTAATTGTGTGCTTTTTGGAGCCCTTGGTCACTATGAACAGCCATTGTATTGCATATAGGTTTGGAATAATATGAGGTTGAGACAGAATTTTCATTTTGGGAACTATTTATCTGATGAGTACAGATATAGTGCTCTGGGGCGCCTCAATTGTGATTTGTACATCGCAGGATACATGGTGTCTCAAATCTACTTATGATTCATAGATATGAATCAGTGTTCGGCTCAAAGGGTTGGAATATTGTGGAGTGCTTTTCGGGATGTCATCCTGTGATTGTTATCGTTGTTGTAAACATGCTGAGCGTCTCAGTCTGGCTGTTTCCTTGGAGTGTGGAGCCTGCATTATGGCAATCCTATTAAAAAAATGCAATATTCAGTAGTTTTTCTGCAATATAGACAACAAATCTTAAAACAAAAAATATATATTTTCTCACTTGGTCTGTGGTTGCAATTTAAAATCCTGCCTTATGAAATGTACATTTATTATGAAGAACTTTGAATGATTGTTTATATACAGTACCGTTCAAAAGTTTGGGGTCAGTTTGATTATTTTTATGGTTTGAAGTCTCTTATTCTCACAAAGGCTGAATTTTTAATTAAAAAGGAAGTAAACACAGTAATAGTAATTTAAAATAACTGTTTTCTGTTGTAATTTATCAAATGTAATTTATTCCTGTGATGGCAAAACTGAATTTTCAGCAGCAATTACTTCAGTGTGATATGACATCCCTCAGAAATAATTTTAACATGCTGATACGACATTATTAAAAATGTTGAAAACAGTTGTGCTGCTTAAATTTTTATTTTCTGTCTTATATTCAGATTAGCATTTATTTGAAAGTTACTTATGTAACTTTATAAAAGTCTTTCTTATCACATTTGTGACCCTGGACCACAAAACCAGTCTTAAGTCGCTGGGGTATATTTGTAGCAATAGCCAAAATTTACACAGTATGGATCAAAATTATTGATTTTTCTTTTATGCCAAAAATCATTAGGATATTAATTAAAGATCATGTTCCATGAAGATATTTTGTAAATTTCCTACCGTAAATAAATAAAAACTTCATTTTTGATTAGTAATATGCATTGCTAAGAACATAATTTGGACAACTTTAAAGATGATTTTCTCAATATTTTGATTTTTTTGCACCCTCAGATTCCAGATTTTCAAATGGTTGTATCGCGGCCAAATCTTCCCCCGTCCTAACATTAAAGATCATGTTCCATGAAGATATTTTGTAAATACCGTAAATATATTAAAACTTAATTTTTGATTAGTAATATGCATTGCTATGGACCTCATTTGGACAACTTTAAAGGCAATTTTCTCAATATTTAGATTTTTTGCGCCCACAGATTCCAGATTTTCAAATACTTGTATCTCAGCCAAATATTGTCCTATCATAAATGGAAAGCTTTCAGATGATGTATAAATCTCAATTTCCAAAAATTGACACTTACAACTGGTTTTGTGGTCCAGGGTCACATTTGATCAATTAAATGTGTTCTTGCTAAATAAAAGTATTTAAAAAAATGATTACCAACCCCAAACTTTTAAACTGTAGCGTATATATTTGCATCCAGTGAAGTCCAAAAGGATGAGACTACACATGCAAAGTATTATATTTTACAATTTTATTTATTTATTCAAATTATATTACAATAGTAAAGTAAAATTAAGATGAATTTCACAAATCATAAATTCAATCCCAGATTGTTAGTGTGGTCTCAGATTTATGAAGCTCACTGCTTATATATTTGTACAGTTTAAGCAGTAAAGCACATACATCTCCATAAAGTGACAGATGCACTGATGATCCTGTACAAGAACAGCAATACTCATTCCACAAGTCTCTTTACAACACTGATTCTTAGAAGCACAATTACTATAATCCACCCCAGATAATACCCACAATCCCCATGCCATTATGCAATTTATTACCAGTCACTGCTGAGCACATCTACAGTACACATTTTGTGAATCACACTTGCAACAAAACTAAAGTGGCAGACTGCGTGCACCAGGGCAGAGAAAGGCATCCAATGATTTTGGCAACTGTATATACACCTTCAACAGTTGGCACATTTTCCTCTTTGTATGAAGCCACAGAATTAACTTCTTAACAGCGTTTGTTCTAACTAAAGGTGACGTAGGTATGAAAATTAGATCTTTCCCTGGCTCTGTTTACATGGTTTTACAGGGCTTAGTTCATTTTGTCTGGGAAAATTTAGTAATAAACATTCTCACCATATGCACCTTTAAGAATCGATGGCTGTGTTCGGAATAGCATAAGCATACTAGCATACCTCTAGTAGACAACATATTTCTTGTATTAGTATAGCAGTATTCTAGTATATAATATGCATGTGTGAAGAATACATGAGCACATGCTTGAAATAAAAGCGCACTGCGACTGTATTTGAGATGATAACTGAACTGTACTTGAAGTAAACATACAATGTGTCAAGTTCTGCAACTGTTTAAATATGTTTAGCATTCCATATCGCATACAATTTTTAAGAAAATTCATTTAAAAATAATTAAATCAACACTGATACCAATCACATATCAAACACAGACAACTGTTATCTTCAATGTGGACGTTTTCACATATTTTATGCCTCTGGGCTATGAAATCAACAGTATTCTGTTATCTACTGTAGTGTTCAAGCAATAATTTTTACAAGAAAATGTTCGGTTAACTAAGGCATCAGAAGTTTTCCTCAATGGTACATTCCACTGCGCATTCAGTCTTTTCGGTAATCCATTGTTTTGTAATGTTCAGTTTTCTTAAAGCATTCCTTTGCTTGGAGACCACTGTTTACACGGATCATCTAGGTGTTTTTTTTTTTTTTAATCATTGTTGTTTGAATTATTTAATGATTCATCTTGAATTTAGGCTTGTGCTAAAGAGCGTTCGGCCTCAGGAGCGACAGCAGAGCAGTTTGTGAAAGACGTTCCTGAACTCCACATTGAAGGCAGTGTAGATGATGGGGTTGACGGCGCTGTTCACGTAACCAAGCCATGTGACCACACTGATCAGCGTCGGCCCGATGTCACATGACTCGCACAGCGCCTTAGTCACATGGACCACGAAGAAAGGAGTCCAGCAAGCCAGAAACACACCTGGAGAGGAGAAGATCATGTTAGGAGTTTATGTATACCCTTACATTGGTAATTCATTCAACTCTTTCATGTGCATGACTGAACAGACTAACCATTTCTGGATCGATGTGCCTGATTTTTTTTTTTTCACCACTATAAGAGTGTCAGTTATCTTTTTATTCGGCTTTTGTATTTTTATTGTTATATTGCAGCATGCTGATTTCACACCAAGATTTCAGTCTTTGTAAGTTGTGCGGGAAACAATGGTGACAATATGGTCAGTGCTTTCATTGCCCTGGAAACAGCTTTATACTTGACCACCTGATGGCTGTCATTTAGTTCTAATTTCTGCTTACGCATTTATTCATGACTTGATTCATTATTTTCAGGTAAATGAACATTCAAATACACTGATGGATACCCGCACAGTCTTGATTTTAAAAACCTCAGATCACGGCAAGGCACTTTGAGTGTTTGAAAAGACCAGCATGGCTGCTCACCAGCATTTGTTTTGGATGCTGGAGTCCCTTAAAATCATCTTAAAGGGACAGTTCACCAAAAAAAAAAAAAAAAAAAATTGTTGTCATAATTTACTCGAACACTGTCTAATTTCATATCAGACGTTTAGGAGTATGTTCATGATGCCCCCAAGATGTTTTCAAGCATCTATGCTCAATCCAAATATGCTGATTGTCTCTTTTTGCATGCAGAGTGCTGACAAACGATTAATCGCAATTAATCGCATCCAAAATGAAAGTTTTTGTTTACATAATACATGTGTGCATACTGTCTATATTTATTATGTATATATGTATTCACACACATACGTACAGTATATATTTTGAAAATATTTACATGCATTTACATGTCTATATTTATATTCATATAATTTATATTATATATAAATATATTTAATATATAAACATAAAATTTTTCTGAAATATACTGTATACATGCATGTGTGTATTTATGTATACATAATAAATATACATAGTAGACACACATATATTATGTAAACAAAAACTTTTATTCTGGATGCAATTAATCGCGATTAATCGCATGACAGCACTAAGTTTACATGAATCCCTTAAGCAAAAATTCCTTAGTCAACCAAAAGGAAATTAAACCAGATCAAGAAACACAAAAAAACTAATTCAATTTTAATATGCAGCTTAAAATGCACATAAAGCTGCTTTTATGGAAGCACGTTTCTGCCACTGAATAAAAAATAAAAAGGTAATTGTGACTTTTTCTAACAATTCTGACATTTTTTCTCACAATTGGGAGTTTACATCTCGCAATTTTGACCTTTTCTCTCAGAATTGTGTACTACAGAGTTGCAATTCTGACTTTTTTCTCAGAATTGTATGATATAAACTCATAATCGCAAGTTATAAAGCCTGAATAGCTGGATATAAACTGGAAATTGCAAGAAAAACTAGCAATTCTGACTTTTTTTATTCATTTATATCTCACAATTCTGACTATATTTCTCAGAATTGCGAGTTTATATCACACAATACTGACTATATAACTCAAAATTGCGAGTTTATATCTCACAGTTCTGAGAGAAAGTGTCAGAATTGTGAGTTTGTATCATGCAATTCTGAGAAAAAAGTCAGAATTGTGAGATATAAACTATATAAAAAAGTCAGAATTGCAAGGTAAATTCACAATTCTGACTTTTTTATATAGTTTATATCTCACAATTCTGACTTTTCTCGCAATTGCGAGTTTGTATCCCGCTATTCTGGCTTTATAACTCGCAATTATGAGTTTATATCACGCAATTCTGAGAAAAAGGTCAGAATTACGAGGTGTAAACTCGCAATTGTGAGAAAAAAAGCCAGAATTGTGAGATAAAAAGTCGCAATCACCTATTTTTATGTTTTATTCAATGGCAGAAACGGGCTTCCATATGCTTTAGAAATGTATGTTGTGAAAAGCACAATAACAAAAAATTGAATTGAATTGATACATACCCACAACCACGGGCAGCACCTTCATTGCCTTCCGCTCTCG